CAATCTGTAACGTAAACATTTCGTTTCGTTGGTTAATTAATTCACCAGCTGTGCACTTAAATTCCTCGAACGGTTTCGATACGAATCGGCTGAATTTAACAGAAATCAGTTGCTGGTTCCCCTAACGAGACTAAACGGGAAAGAAAAGTTAAAACGGTGTCAGGAATTCGCTGGTATCGAATGGAATTCAGTGAACCTGCAACAACATATGCGAGGTACGTTGGTACCATACCGATACCCTTGTACCTGCTAACGTTCAGTGAACGCATTCACGAAAGCGCCATATGTGTCGTCGATTATGTTATGGATAGCAACCCCACATGGTCCTCCACGAAGAAGGTGTATACACGCATAAATTCTCTCCCTCGACCCCCCAGTCGAGTGGTACCTGTGCATTATATTGTACGACATATGCCAGCCGATAGTGGAATGCCGACACGTGGAAATCGATATTTTCAAGATAAATCAACAGCAAAATACAAACGACCAAATAAAATTTTGTAAATTTCCTTAAAAACCAAGCTTTCCATAAAAAAAAATTTAATTCCACATTTTTATCCTATTTTTCCATATAAAATCGACCTCTTCCTAATTATACCAATAATTACCTGGTACCTTGTACAAATATGGAAAGGTGTTCATCGTGTTCTATATCGAGCAGTCCATATCAAGAAATTTCATTTCCACGGAACTTATACTCTATTTTCATTAAACAGACTCGTTTACTCTTTCAATTAATCCATGACATTCTCATTACAGGGTACACTGGAAAGGTGATTCTTATCCATCTCGAAAAACCTTGTTCAGTGACGAAGAAAGAGCAGAGTCATAATAACGTCTTCGATAATAACGATATTCAATATTGATATTCAGTTATTAAAATTCAATTTTATTGTTATTGAGATACAGTTATTGTTATTGTTATTGTGATATCATGAATAATTCATCTCGTATTAAGTTCTGAAATGAAACTTCACTTCAAAAATTTATGAAATCACTTTTTGAACTAACTTTATTGCAAATGTGTTGTAATTCGTTTACATAGCGCATTATTTAAACGATGTTTAATTTTTAATTCTGTATAATTTGCACTCGTTGAGTTAATTCTATTTTAAATTTATATTTATGCAATTTACAAATAAATAAGGGTCGAAAAATGAAAGACACAAGCCAGAGTACTTGTATCGTGAAGCTCATACTTCATCTAAGAAACTAGAAAGATTCTAATATCTATGATCAACGGTAACAATAATCCTAGGTTCTAGGGTAGTAACCCGAGGCAAAAAATCAAAATCATATCCGATACGAAGACGGAGAAGTAACGTAATGCAAGGTTTAAAGTAGAAAATTCAAGTCGGCTGGCCCGTGGCATCGCTCATCCCGCCACTCAGAGCGGTAATTAATTTCACGATAATTAGCGGCGATGTGGCCAGCTAGCCTGGCCATCCTGATCCAAGAATATAATTATGGAATAAATTCTTCGAGTCAAAGGTTCAAGGTAATAAGGCTATTACCGACGTTCTGGAAAATATACTTTTTCCTTTCCCTCATTCATTACCGATCCTTTCTTCTTTTACATTTCTATTTCTTCCCTTTACATCATCATTTAAGACATCAAGAATTTTAAGAACGTGTACTGTTGAGATTTTTTTCAGAAAAATTAAATCACTTTTTCAATAATTTTTTCCGTTCATTATATTTCAAAAAGTACATCTTCCAATACTCTTAATAATTTCTTAATGTAAAACTTGTGAAAAATATGGAAGACATTGGTGCTTGAATTTCCACAAGAATCCATCACCAATGCTACTAAGAAATCTTTTAATTACCTAATTAGAAATTAGAAAACTTCTTCAAAATAAAATTTTCAATACCTTCAACGTGTTAAATATTTGAAAAATTTCAATCGTTCATTTCGTCTTATTGTAAAATTTGTACAAAGCATCCCGTAACTTTTGACGGGGGTTGTACTTACTATGTTATGCGAACAGTTTAAAACCGCAAGTATAATGTCATTCGAATATTTTCGTCATCGTGTGTATAAACGAATAAGCAAACGATATTGCAGGAATGAACGTTTCAAAGGAACAAGTTTTAACATCTTCATACAAGAAGCAATGCGTGAGCGAGATAACAACGTCGGCTATCATTTTCGTGGAAATGAAATCACCTTGCGAGAAATGGGGTACAGTAATGACGGCTCCTTAAAATTCAACGCAACAAAGTGGCAGCCGTACGCCGCGTGTTGATGCCTTTGTACCGTCACCAGCGAAAATTAGTAGCTGGTGTAACGGGACCGCGAGTGGTTAACGCTCACAGGGGCGTTACGTACCCTGGAAACAGGTTGCCGTGCCGAGAGAAGCTCTACGAACGATATAATAATGGCGGTACCTGTAACTTTGTGGTCGAAAATTTGTCGCGCAGCGAGAATTCGCATCGTCGAAGAATGCTCGACGGACTCGTAAATCTTCATCCTACGTTCTTCCGTTACGGTCCTTCAGCAACGAGCCGAACTTCCAAGGAGAAAGGACTCCTCGTCAGAGTACAGGGTAAACTACCTGCGGGGTAATTGACCCCGACTGAGATCTATACTATGAAACAGGGCTGTTCTACTTTTCATATTTTCGGGAGATTTGGTTGGGGATAGTTGAAGAAAATGATAAGACATAATATCTTGTAGTCATTGGAAAACTATTTAAAGGGTTGCCAAAGAAAGTGTATCTACGTGGTCATTTTATGTTGAATAATAATTCACTTTACCACCCTTCTACTATATTTCACAAAGTTTTAGGAGATACCTAAAATGTTGCTCTGATTAAAAAAATACAAAGGGGTGACTAATTTCTATTTGATCTTAGGTTTTCTTCAACCACCCTTAGGACTGGAATGTGAAATAAAATTCTTTCCAATGAACCAATTTCACTATCTACCTATAAAGTGCTGAACCTTGCTTTCCACACCCTGTATATATTTAATATTGTAATGAAATTAGTATTTTACTGTAGTGTAAATTTGTGAAACATTTCCTTTTTCACAGAATTTTCTCATATTTCTCAAAGAATTTCTACAAATGTTCTCTTCGTCGAAGGTAGAACAGTATACTTTACTTTCACCTACCATTAATTTTAAAAGATGCGTTATACAATCAGCAAAATTAAATATTTTAATGAATTTTATTCAAGACGACCTGAATTATAATAAAGTATTTCACAACCCATGTCAACTTGAATGCATCCTGAAACTCGTGCGACATATCTCCCTTATCACATATTATCACTTATATATGCATAACTCGGTACAACTTAGTTCGGAGTGTCAAAGCGTTTTTTATCTGTCGAAATCCAACATCAGACGACATTCGGGCGTCGGATATTTATCACAAAGTCCATCCGCGCGAGCGCGAGCGCACGTATGCACGCACTCACAGAGAAGGAACGTCCAGTGGCCCTCGAGTGCCCCTTACGCGCCACTTTTTCAACAGAGAAAAAGATAGGCACGCATAGACGGAAAGAGAAAGATAAGGTGAAAGAGATAGAAAAAAAAAAGGAGAAGGAGACAGAGCGCCGGTAAAAGAAAAAAAGGGAACGGAACAGGGCATATACCTGTTCCACGCGTGAGCACACGCACGCACGTACACAGATATTCGAGTCCACGCGCGGCTGTGCGCGCGCACATCCTCCCCATACATACTCCCCTTAAGCGCACGAGGCCTGGCAAGCACGCGTGCGCCCTGGTACACGCATGCACGCATGCACGCACGCACGCACGCACGCGCACGCTTCATACAGACCGAATAAAACCAGTCGATTGGTGGGGAGAGAGTGGATGGATGGGGGTCGGCGCGCGCCACGACGCGAGGGTGGGGAGAACGGCTCACGTCTTGCACCCCCTGCCCTCTTCGCCGCTATCGATGTGCCCGTAACGCTGCTGCCCCCAACTTCCCTACCACCACTTGGGCCCACATATCCTCCTGTATACCCCCTTTACTCCACTGACACGGCCCCTGCCGTCATTCCTGCGTAGCTTCTTTTCAGCCGCCACCCCCTCCTACTCGCGTTTCTTCTTCTTCGTCTTCTTCTTCATCGGCACGCATCTCCATCTTTCTTCCTTCTTTCTCTTTGTCTTCTCTCCGTTCAACGTGATCGCGGTACGTGCGCGTGTCTTTCTCGGCCAGCTCGTTCGCTCTCTGGACCAGCTTTTCTTTCTCCCGGTAACTGTTCAAATTTCAATCCCTGAGACACCGGCCACTCGGTGGGGATGTGGACCCTTCTTACGTGCACGCCAGTGTCTCTCACGCGTATACACGAATTTTCGGGGATCTTTGCAAGGTGATTTCCGATCTGGTGACACGTGCAATATACACGGACCGTGTTTTGGTACAGGTGATACGGAATTTCGGGATTCGAGGAATCATTTAAATGACTACCCCTTCGAACCTGTAATTTGCATTACCTACTCAAGTTGTTGTAGTACTTCAGCCAATGAATGAATTCACCGTTGTGAACATTGCTGACTAAATCCTTCCTCTTAAATTATACCCAGAACATTTTTGTTTCGCTCAAATTAGCTTACCAAAATTATTATAAACATTATTTTTCAATATAACACTCGTCAACGTAAGATTAGTATAGGTTGCGTATAATATGCTACAACTTCCAAGAAACGAAAACCACAAGTTTTGTTATCGGACCGATAACGTCGAAGGGTATCATCTTTAAATATCCAAATCAGCAAATAGATTGAAAGGAGCATGCAAAAACGTGAGGGCGATTCACGAAGAGATGAGAAACTCGGGCGTTGTAGGGCCTTTGGATCGGTAGTAGTGGGGACGTACAGGGGTATGAGGCACAGCAAGCCGATAGGGTGGGAGGGAGGGGGAGAAGATGGGGGTTTAGGGCCCGAGATCGAGTATGAGGCCCAGTGGTGGGGATAGGCGCGTGCCCGCCCTGGCTATATAAGGCCTCGAACCCTTCTTGCCAAGGCATTTCGGGAGCCAGGTCCGTGCCGTCAGCATCGAGGGTGCGGTTCAGTTTTCAACTGTCTTAGCTCGCGTAACAACTCGTCCCGTCTTATTTCGAAGGTTTCTATATTGCTTTTTTTTCACATCGGTTCGACGTATAACGCGTACTTAACCAAGGTGTCGCTGAAGGAAGGGGGTTAGTTAGAGAGGGTTCAGCTGTCGTAGTAAACGGTCGGCAGCCTCGTACTTCGAGTACATCGAGGATCCTATTTCTCAAGGTCATCTGGCACGCGCTGCCGCGCACTCCTGCTCTTGTAGTGGGGGGGGAAATCGGATCAGTGATATGACCTTAGTGGGTACGACGGAGGGGAACGTATTACCCATCATGTTGAGCGTACAGCAACAGCATCATCACCATAATCTTCATGGTTCTACGACCAGTGCTCAAACTCATCGCGGCAATGTGATTGTTTCAACGAGCAGTATGCCGACAAATGACATCAAGATCCAGCAGCACGGTTGCAAACGATCGAAGATCTACAGCCAAGCGACCGGACCTTACGGCACGGTTCCTCATCAACCAGCCTCGGTGGCCAGGCGAAACGCGAGGGAACGGAATCGTGTGAAGCAGGTGAACAACGGATTCGCCACGTTGAGGCAACACATACCCCAGAGTGTGGCGCAAGCCCTCGGAGGAAGTACAGCTGGTACACACGGTGGATCTAGGGCTGGCAGTAAAAAGCTGTCGAAGGTTGAGACGCTCAGGATGGCGGTCGAGTACATCAGGAGTCTACAGCGACTTCTCGAGGAACACGACAGTGGTTCAGATTTGGCCAGCGTATCCTCGCCGACCTCGTCACCACCATCTTCCACGTCCTCGGCTTCGTCCACGTGTAGTTCCAACACCGGCCTCGGAGTCGACGCCAATCACCATTCGGCCGAGTTAAGACTCCGTGGCAATGTCAACAATGACATTCGACATCACAACAACTCCGACTTGCATCGGCATCAACATATCAGACAAAACCCTAGCCCAACGTTCGTGCCAGCACCCTGTTCCGAGGCGTCTAGTTCCCCAACGCCGAGCTTTGTCTCTGAAGCATCATCGGCTGGCAGTCAAGGATACGGAACATCGGGAACCCTTTATACCACGCATTCCGATGGTTACGATAATTACGAGCCAATGAGCCCAGAAGACGAAGAACTGTTGGACGTCATCTCTTGGTGGCAACAAAGTCAATGAGAGGACCGGTGTCTACGTCGCCTCCTCGTTGGTCCTTTCTTGTCTTCAAAGGTTAGCATCGTGATTATCATGATTTCTAACATTTCTAACATTTCTAACATACCTCGTACTCGAATCTTTTAAATTAATTAAATTTCTTAGATTCTTCTATGAGGCGACTTTCAGAATTTGTTAATTTTCTTTTTAAATACAGTTTTTATTCATTTTCCTTGAAGCTAATCGTGAAACCGGTTCGAAGGAAACGTTGCATCACATTGAGGAGTGGTTTTTTTTTTTCTCTCAAAAACTTTCTCACCTCCCTCGCTTTAGAAGGACCGTAAATTTTGCCTATGAGGTAACATCCGCGTTACCGAGGAAGTTCAAAGAAATTTCCGACCAGATTTGTGACCTTGCCCCGTGACAATGGCGCGCGCGACCCCTCGCTGAAACTCCAGCCATTCAAATCGCAGACTCCATTCAAAGGGGCAGCGAGTCTACATTCGAGAAGCGACGCTTTTGTGCTGGATTTCTTTCACTGTGAACCAACACATCATCTCGTTCCATGTGTGTGTACCGGTCCTTCTACCGTTTTTTTCATCCCTCCTCACCCTTCAACCTTCCGAGTCGTCTAATTCGTCTCCTCTGGAAATTTTGCCACCTTCTGCGAGAGCTTTACAATGTGCTCCTCTCAAAAGTTCAACATTCCATCTCATTTCCCTTCAGCATTTCATCATTATTACTTTTTTTTTCGAGGAAGTCACCGATGCTTGATTAATTTCTACAAAATATTTTTTTTTACATTTTCACGTTTCCATCAATTTTAAAGACACTTTATGCAACAATGAATCCGATCGAATGGAAAAGCATCGATAAATTTATATTTGAATTCGGCTACTAATCTTGATGGACGTAACTTTCCTCGACCTCCCTTTGAAACTTCTAACGTTCCCGCGGATTTTTCTCCGTCTTACTTTATTTTTCGATTCGTTCATCCCTCTCCGTCTCTCTTTTCCTCTTTGACAAGAGACGATTTCGTCTGCTGCGTTTAACCTGAATGCATCTTTCAGGATATTTCAGTCCCCCTTTTGTGGGTTTTTGAACCGGTACGCTATTCTTCTGTCTCTCTCTCTGAAACCTTCCCCCGTTCCCCGTTCCGTCACCGACGATTTCTTCTTTTTCGTTTTACCCGTGAACGGCGCGTCCCTTCCAGTAAAACTGCCCTTACCTGAAATCATCCCCTGCTTCATGCACTTATATACCTGTAGCGTCTCCTTACCGACCTTCGACAGTCCTGATTTTCAGACGGGAATAAAATTATAAACTGGTATCGTGTCTAAAAATATTCAACGACAAAGGTGTCCGAGATAATGTTTAAGCGGAATCAAATTTAAAACATGTTTCAGATTATTGTAAAAATAGATCTGGCTAATAGTGAAAGATTCATTCATCTTCAGCTAAATTTGGATAAAAATAATTTTGTTTACTGTTTATAAAAAAGAAATTGAAAGTTTTCCAGAAATTATGCAATTTTTAATCCATAAATTAAATTATTGCCAGATTGTAATTTAATAAATAATTCCTCTATCATTTACGAAAAAATTAAAAATTGAATATGACAATGCTACATAAACTTCCCATTATTATAATTAATTTTCATCGTCTCAAAGAGTTAATAAAATTAAAGTAACTTAAATTGTATTATAAAATAATATTTAGTGTTAACGTAATTTCTTCTTTTTTCTGTTTTAGAAGTGGCTGGCAAAAACCCACGAAATGTATTAGAATAAAGGACCGAAGGGAGACGGCAAACAGCGGCTGTTCCACTAACTGTGATCTAGTCATATCAACATTGTACACATGTAACTTTACGAATCGACAAAGTCGCGTTTTGTTTTTGTCGGTAGCCTCGATGATAGTTGTGCTGGAGACACTTTGATATGTTACTTGTCCAAGAAATTGTTCTATTATTGTTCTGAATGGATGTCGTATCGACATTCGGGCATCCTCGAAGGATGCAGCATTCCAGAGTGCCTTACAAGGATTGTTGGTGTATTATTGAGATAAATATACAATTTTCATCGACATAAAAATCCTTGATTAATCTTAAGGGAACATTACGTTCTGGTATCGTACGAAGATTATTTGAAAGAACTGATTTGTTGTAAATTTTATAAATGTTATTATCATTGAAAATATTAAGAATTCGCTTGATACTCCCAATAGGAAGGTTTCAAATATTTATACCGATCCGCGCAATTAATTGAACGAATTTTTACAGACCGTTAGCTGTGGGTCTTGTTGTAATATAATGATTTGTAATGTTATTGTAAATGATTATATATGTATATTGAATACGAAATCAAAGCAGATCAATTTCTCATTCGTTGATGCTCGAAATTGAAATGAAACTGAACGAAATTTTATCGTGTCGATGCTTTTTGTAAATAAATATTAAAAGTAATAGTTCCTTAAATATATTGGAAAACGTTATAAACAATATTGTGAAAATCTTATTATTTTCTCCTGTTCTTTATTGTCCTAGAAATTGCATTTCTATTTTCTTAAATTTTTATTTGTAATAAATGTTAGTATCCCATTATTTGATTTTAATACAACTTAAAATTTTACCTTTGCAATATCATATTCCTGATTTACAAATTTTTATCTATATTAAATCTTAGCCATTTAAGATTATTTCTACTGTCTCTATTTTAGAATTTTTTTTTTTATTTCCTTAGAATTGCAATATTTCATTACCATTATAAAACAAAGGTTGACTTTTATAGGGATGTTAGAGAGTGATTTATATCAGTGGCAAAATTTTCAGTAAAGTTTTGTTACACCTGACATCACAGTAGAGTCAGGTATAACCATGATTACTCGAAGAAACCTAGGAAAGATCCTCGAGAAGGAATATTCATTGTTGGAGGGTAACGGTACGTTTCACCGGCAATACGTCTCGATCGTGGAATCGATCCTCTTCCTGTTCAATAAACGAATCGCAACGACTGGTGTCATTTCGGGTTCAGGTAGACTCGATTTACTAACCTTCTCCTAACGGACCCGATAGTCTTAGGGTAGAAATACCTTCGGCAGGTATCGATTCCTTCGATCGTAAAATTTTATTTTGCTATAGGCAATGCATAGAAGAATATTAAAAACCTTAGAGTTATTAAGTAGGCATTTTAACATTTTACCCTTGTTCTATAAAATGTATTCACTTCAAAGTCTAATATTTTTGTGCTTTTGGGTGGATTTAAAATATAGTTCCCATATATTATTTTTTCTGTGAAGAGAAGGTGTGAAGGGGTTGTACACTATGCATAATAGTTATTTAATTAAGATTATTCATCTGCAACTTTGTGTAATAAATATTCTATGTATGAAATTATAGAAGTTACATCTAAAAGGGAAAAGAGCAGTAGATTATTAATATGTATTATCACCGATCGTTTTTAAGAACAGGATACGATATCATTGTGAGTTCTTCACATTTTTATCAGTTTGTTCACTGACATATTGTTACTTTTGATAAGCAAAGTAAATCCATAGTATAAAACGAGCATTGTGATTCAACATAAAGAAGTCTCTTTAGAAATGATTTATTTTAATACATGAATTTATGATTAAAATATCGAATCATCTCTAAAGATATAATATTATTTAAATAAATCTTCTTGAATTAAAAATAAATTTACTTTATCAAATATTATTGTTCCTTGCATTGTAATATCTACCATCACTTTTCTCTATTTATTTTTATTATAAGAAAATTTAAATACTTTGAATTATTAATTTATTATTTTAAATACTTTATCCCCAAATTTCACGCAACCGAGTTTAACACTAATAAATCACAATTTGCTAACGATTTCATCGAACACAAATCATTCTTTCAGCAAGCAATTTTCTTTTTTTCAGCTAGTGCACCATAATCGGCCATTGATGACTCGTAATCATAGTTAATTAACAGATCAGTCCCAAAAAACGAAATCCCCTGAACGATTTTCCAAGATGCAGGTCACCAATCATAGACCCAAAAATATATAATGCATCCCTGAAACGTTTCCTTTCGCGAGAGTACGTCTTAAAAGTGCAGCAAAGAAGGCGGAGCTCTCCCCCATTATCCCTGTCGATGTCTTTGCGGTTTTTGAGTAAATAGCCAACCGGAATCACAGTAATCTTTCTGTCAAAAGTTTCGTTCCCTAGTTTTCGAAACCGCAAAACATGCAAATTGAGAACTCCACGTAATCTATGGACGAGAGTAACCTATAAATCGGTTCGAAGATTTTCGTTTGTACCAAACGAATGATTTAAGGAATACTTTTTAAATCGTTTGAAGAAATAGAATCCGCGTATTTTTGTAATACATCATTCAGAACATGTGACATATCCATAACCTCACAATAGTATTATTACGTATTTCGTTTGTACATTTACATATAATTATATCCTGAATTATTAAAAAAATAATAAGGTACAATATTAAATGACTCACCATCAGAAGATTGTGAAATATTTAAGTAGAGGACCAAGTTCATCAGTGTTTATAACTCACAATAAACGACACAAGACACGATAGGACGCGCACTAATACATACTGTGAACATTACCGTGCCTGCCTCTCCACCCCCCGCGAGCAAGTTGTTTCGTTGGGCGGATCAGACGGGCAGTGGCTTTAACTAGTAAGTATAAATATATAAAATTGATTATAAGAAAATTTTCCCCGATCCCTTTCAGAAGATGGTGGTCCCAGAAATCCTTCAAAAGATCAACGACTCTGGCGTGTTCGGACAAAATGACAAAAATTCATTAGGTTCGTGATCGTCATTATCGCATCAGGAGATTAGCCGCGGGCGTAATGTTGTAGGCACGCGTTACTTGGAAATCACTCGAGGTGGAGCGTTCCGGCCAAGTAAATCCTCTTATCCGCATCGATGACGCCGAACCAGACGAGGAACACGAAGAGGAAGGCGAGTCAAGAAGAAGAAGAGTCCACGAAGACGTACGCAGAACGATCGAATCGCGGGACTCGCCTTACCGGTGCAACGAGTTAAAAGGACGAGGTTCTTCCTTGAGGGTACATTAACCATACGAATACAGATCCGTCTAGCCAGTAAGGATCCCTCGTGAAAGAACAACCGACGACACACGTTGTGCCTTGTTACTACCTCGTCGTCCCCTCTTAAGGCCACGTTAAATTGGATTTAAATTTCGAGATTTATAACACGGCCGTGAATCCTCTTCGAGGAACTCTGCCAGTGATTCTTTTAATCCTTTCGACGCGGTCAAGCAGTTTCTCCACCGTTCAATCCGAAAAGGAAATGTCATTTTTCACGCTTCTGATGATACAGTCTAAGAATTTGATTGTTTAATTTGGTGATTAAAATGGATGGAAGAAATACTTCAAATTTAATGAGGTACGAAACGACAAAATCAACAGGAACAATTAAATTTTTTATTATCCAAAATCTGTAATATAAAAATTCTAGCGATTTTGAAATTTCATAAAATATATATGTTTAAATAATCTTTTACTTTTTTAAGTTAAAATGAAATGAAAAGTATATTTTAAAAAATCAAAAAAAAAATGTTTGAAATTTTTATTCAAAGTATCTGATTTCTGGATTTAAAATCTTTTATAACATTATTAGGACTTTCTGAATTCTTTTTCCAGTATTATTACATGGGTCATAAGTGCATTGGCTACAAGGATACAGAGATTAAACCAAATCACTTTGAAATGTGTAGACATTTGGTCCATTCGTGCTTCAAAGCCACTGCTGCACACCTGATGCATCGTCAGGGTTAATAAAATCGTCATCTCGACGACCGGAAGCGACGATGAAAAGCATCCCCTGGTGGTGCACAAAGCGAATCGTAACACTGGACCGCTGTATAAGCGATCATCGCGGGCGGTCGTCGTTCCATTCCACTTCGATTCCATTTACCAGCCGCAACAACGAGTTTTCCAAAGAATCGAAAGGCCATGGGTGGAAAAAAAAAAGAAGAGAGACGGAACGAGTGGGAAAGGGGAAGAGATTCAGCTCGTGCCCCTACGTTTTACAAATTCGCCACGAGTATCGTGGGTGGTCGTGGAAGGGCAGTTTCCTCGGGGAACGCGACGGGATTCCTATCCTTTCGGGAGAAATTTGACGTGCGACCGCGAAATATGCCGGCACGAGATACAATCGAGATGCTGACGATCACAGAGATCGCCGTTGGCGAACTTCACCGGTCGTTTCGTTGCCGCGAAGACATTTACGATCTCGCGTCGACGTGCTCTACCGTCTATGGAGATACAAGGTGTCTACCAGCATTCAGACAAAATTTATACAATGTATAAATATAATAAGTTATAACTTTTAAAATATTCATTTTCATTAAATATAACTTCTACTTCCCGGGATATAGGAGCTACCCATTTTGCCAAATCGATTAACTTCAAAAAAAAGTAAGGAAATTGATAAAATATAAAAAGTTAAGCATCAACTGAATGTTGTGACTCTAAAATTTTAACAGATTCAAAAACTGGAGTTAATCACTTTGGCCTGTGTATGATTCATATTTTACTATTTTGCTCATATTTGCTAATATTAACATGTCACTTTTCAGCAATATTTCAAATAATCGAGAAATACAAAACTTAAACTTATCAAAACTGTCATCAATATTTTGTAAGCAATAAACGTTTAAAATAGTAGCTGTCCATAATAAGGTGGCAGGGTACCATTTATCCCACATCAGTTACAACGAGTACAAGTAAGACATCACACCATGACACCTTTCCACCGAAGATAAACCTCCATGAAGCGGTTACGATACAGGGCGATAGATAACAAGATCCGATACGCGTATACTCTAGTTTCTATCGTAGATACAGCTAGAGCCTAGTTAGACGAGAAATCTCCCGCAGTGAGCAGTATTCTCATAAAAGCCACACGGATGAGTTCCAGAGGATCCGAGCATTCTCTCCCAAACAGAAGACAAAGGTGAGTCTTTTGTAAACAACGACCGACTGCGGACGATCGAATTTCAGGAGATGACCGATGACCCTCCCGCTTGACATTAGGCCACGATGGCTTCAGAGATTCCCAAGAATCATGGCAGCATCCGGATAAAATCTTCGAAACGACGTCCCTCTAAGCTTGCCTCGTTACCAACGAAGCTTCTGCTGTTTAGATCGGAGCGCCGGTGATTTAAGTGACGAAGATGAAGATTATGGCGAGCACATTTGTCCTGGACGACAATAAATGTCGTGTTCGCGAGGTTATAGTCTCTTACCAGCGTTTAGGGATGCATCTGATAAGCTACGTTTGATGTTTCACTCTGAATAGAACGTTTTCTAATAAGACCTTCACGGTATTTCTTTTCTAATTAAATTCATTTTAATTTCAGAGTTTTATATATTGACCGAATAATTTTTAAGAAACGGTGTCAATTTTAGAAGATGA